CCGCCCCCCCCCCTTCCCCCCCGCTGCTCCCGCTCGGGCGGCGGAAGCGGCTCTCGGTTACTGATTCATATTTCTAATCTTCCTTTCCTGAACATACAATGTTCTTTTGTTAAATGAATGGTCTTTAATTAATGCACTTGCACAATGCGGGGGCTTGCATGGGGATCGATGATAGGAAGCAACAGGGGATGGTTCCCTCCAAAATGGTTTGTCAGCATTGAGAAAGAAAAGGCAATGTCTATAAAAGGGCCACTAATAATGCCCACACGTCTCTCACCATGTTGTCTGAGGGGACATTCCTTCCCTTGTTGACAGTCAAGTGTAATAAGTACATGTCTTCGCTCAATCATTATAGACCATAGAATTGTATTCTTTAATTAGCATGTACTATTAGCCCTCCTTTCCTTTATGGGCCGTTGTTTTGTCTTTTACAGCCCGGCAAAAATGTTTTCCTTCTGTTCTTTTTCTTGAATTCTTCTCTTTCTTTCATTATTCTCTTTCTTTCTCTCTCTCTTTCTTTCTTTCTGTAGTCAAACGTATTCTTTATGGACAATATTCCTACCAGCCAAAGCCAACTTTTTGTCATCTCTCTGTGTTGGGCAACTTCTTTCAAGTTTTCCTTTTTTAAAAGGAGCCAAGGCAGCACGCATGCGCAGGAGGCCGCCGGGGTGCTGGGTGCTGGCGCCCGGGGCTGCTGCCGCCCTCCAAACTGCAAAGCTGGGGGTTAAAAACTCATGCGAAGAGAACCCTGAGCGTGATGGGGAGCTGCGAAACCCTGCAACCCCGTGTTAAAATCCGTCAGGGGAACAAGCAAGGCGAAGGCGGGTCACCTTCAGCTTCCTTCAGCTGGCGAATGAATTTCCTCTCCTAAAAAGAAATAAAACGCTCGAAATCCTCCTTAGAAGGAACCTTATAGAAAGCGTCACTGCGGCAGGGACTCATTCTGGGGGGGGGCAAAGGCTTCAAACAAACGGTTTCGTACCTCACCCGCCCTGCCTGAGCCCTCATCCCCGGGGGCAGGGGGAGCGGGAGCCTTGCGGGACGGCTGCTGCTGGACCCTCCCGCCAACGTCCCGAGTACCGGTGACCCCAGAACCGCAAACGGCGTCTGCGGGAGTCAGAGGTAACCGGGGGGGACAGCAAAGGGACAGGGCTCCACTCGGGTGGCACCGGGCTCTCTCCTCGCACTCTGCGCCTCGGTCTGTCTGCGAGGTACATTTCACCTGAAGGGTCCAGTCTGAAAAGGTCAGAAACGAAGCCAAGGAAATGTTTTGTTTTGTTCTTTTAATGCAAATGCCAACCTAAAACGATTAACATTAAAAGAGGTTAAAGACCAACAAAAACCACGCATTAGTACTTGATTGTACACCACATTAATCGCACACCGGTCTGAGGACATTTTTTTCAACTAATATAAAAACCAACAGGGAGACAAGGTGGACTACACAGTGTTTTAGGAATGGCTCGGTATCATCAGTACACACACGTATTTTAAAAGTGCACATTTGTAAAAATAACCATAGAATTGAAACGTTTATAAATATTTATTGTAAAAAAATCCAAATATTAAAAATAAATAGTATGTTCAAACACACAACAAAACATTCCTTCATTACCAAACATGTGCTGAAGGAAAATACGGAATATAAGAAGTCTGGAAAGAGATACAGCATATCAACATCGCAAAGGGTTTTTTTGCGAGCTACAATTTTCAGAGGTGTTTTTTCTCTGTACAGTTCACAGGGAACGTGGTAGGTTTTCCCATAAATATGACAAGATCCAGGATTAGTAATAACATAGTAATACCCACTCCACTGCAGTTTGACTCGGTCTTTACTCTTGAAAAGTCCCATTAAATTAATGGGGTTGCTTAGAATGGCAGGATTGGGCTCAGATCATTCTGTAGCAACTAAAACAGAAGTACACCGATGAGTTACAACTGCAAGGAATTCGTGTTACGAACAGAGCATTTCACGATCTCCAATGAGAAATCACTAAATAAACCTTGATCGGGGAATCATTTCAGTGTACACTGCGACGCTTATAAAATGAAGATACAAAGGGGATGCAGTTGGACTATCTTTCTACTTACAGACAATAAAACAAGAGAGCATATGGAAGCCATCGCTTTGAATGCGTTCACAACTTCGATACACTGCAGTATATACATGCTTAATAGGTATTCGGACTGTTAAAACGATCAAAGCATTTACTCTTCTGTCTACGCTCTTGCTTTCACTCTACTGGAAAGAAAACGTTTGTTGGTCACATGCTGGTGCTAATGAAACCCAACATTTCTGCCTTCTCCCAAGAATGGCATTCTGTGCAGCATATGTGTAGGAATAATTTATTAGACGGGAAAGTTCAGGGGATAAAATGCAAAAAAGAAATGGACATCATTTCAACTTTCCAACAGTAAGGTCATACGGACAGCTATGGAGATCTGTACACAGACAGAGTTTCACACAGACACAGCCACGTCTATCCAGATGTATGTCTATACACAGGATTCGGTAGTTTGGTATTTTCTGCACCCTCTGGGCCCCTAAAGTTATCTTTAAAAGTTTGATTTTATCTCTTTAGAAACGGTTTAAAGCTAACGGGCAGGGTGAGTTTGACAGAGAGGAGAACAAATCGCTGACAAAGAACCTTTTACGTTTCATCAGCGTTGTTAGGACGACAAGCAGGAATTTCTCAGATAATAACTCCCACTTCAAAGATTTCTCAGCTCAATAGAAATTGGACCATCCTTTTTATTCAACCACAAGGGCTGGCACTAAAGACGACTGCACTGTTTGAATTTTTTTTCCGCCGTGTTTATTTTTCCCCTATTCACCGGGGTACTTGGATAAAATAAACAACAAGACAATTACTGGAACATGGACTTCTAACTTTTCCTGGGCCCACGGCCCCGCGCCCGTGGCCCCGGCCGTGCGGGTGTCAAGTTCCCCCGCACCG